GTAAATACTTTATTCACTTTTTGTAATCATTTGGGTAGGTTCTTCATCATATGAAAGATTGAAAACATTCTGACAAAGACTTCTGAAAATATTGACAAATTTAGGGTGGAAAATTGACTAAAAATAATAGAGTTCATTTGCCTATTTTTTCTTAAATGTGGACTAATCTTCTATGTCAATGGAATATAAAAGAATTTATTATTGATAAATACTGTTTAATACTTTTCAGTTAATAAAGTCGACGACTGACGATGTTTAATTAAGTATTTTTGAGATTTTTCATATTTTCTTTATGACAAGTACCCCTAAAAATGACTGAAAATGTGTAGTCGTAGTATGTAATTTCCATTCCATGTTTCACAGGCTGCACTACATTAAATAACAAGGAAACATGTCATGTGCATTTGTCTGATTGATAAGCAAGTGCTAATTTATCATTTTGAAAAGTTTGAAAATCTTGTGACAAAGACTTTTCCGACATAGGTTCTACCTTAAACAAAACTATCTAAAATCCAAGAGGTCTAACAAACTTAATTCCAATTTCCGAGGAGTGAATAGTGATGTATTATGATTTTAATTTATTTTTCCAAGTATATGTTCTAAAATAAATAACTTTTGCTGTTGCTTTTTATTGCTAAGAAAGTACAAATTATCATGCTTATAAGTTATAACAGTACGATGCTTTTTCTACGTCCCGTACGTAGCCAAACAAACCATTAATGCAATATTGGTTGACGGTGTAGAAAGTGAATGAGTTTGATGCGCTTCATGTTCTTTAGTCATAAAAACCAACAAATAAATAGCAATAACAACTCATAGTCTCATACTTAAATTATTGTGAAAGAATGGTTAATTAAATTAGTGTTTCATGAGTAATTAGCCAAAAAAATTCAACATAAAATATTCGTTTAAACATTTACGAAATTCAGTAAACGTTTCACCCTTACGTCAGTGACCCGTGATTATTACACAATTAAAGCGTAACTCTTATAAAAAACAAAGAGAGCTTGTGATGAACTTTAATTATGAGAAATAATACAATTTTAAAATGATTGATATTGATATCAGAAAGGAACACCTTCCAATTACGCTCATAACTGTCCCCCAATTTACATGATTGTATTTACAAATTTCCAACAGCTGTTTAATTATTCTTCATTAATTGATAGTTGCATTATACGAGATCTTACGGCATTGCCGGTTGAAACTTTACAATTTGGATCTGACATCATTTAAAGTATGCCAATGCATGTTTGCCGAACAAAAAAATTCCTTTGAACAATCAACGAAGACCGGTTAAGCCTTTCCCTCAGTTCTACTCACGAGAACATTGAACACTGATACGTTAATAAATGAAGTCAGATCTGTTTTTTACCTTGAATTTAAGATTACTATTAAACACCCAATTTTACGTTAACGCCCCCAAAATCTACCTAATTCAGGATCAATAGTATACCGCCCGTCAATCATTAAAAAACAAAGCTTCTGATTTGATTGACGGGCCAGCTACGTGGGCTACCTGATAATCTGAGTTTGCATGTCTCGAAAACAATTACCTCGACACGCGTCAAACACTTTCATGTACCGCGTGAAAGGTCGCTTTGTATACACTCTGGTTAAAAAAAATCATATCGCTGTTATATTGGTTGATAATTTTATTTTTTAAAAATAATTGAGAGTAGATAATTAAACAGTGACTTCCGTGATTTTTTTCTATTTCCACTGCTATTTTGTATACTTGTTAGCGATATGACGTCCAAGATAACAATAGAACTTTTCGAAGAAACAATAGAACTTTTCGAAGAAAAATTAGCGGATATTCAAGCCATATCTTCCTTCAATAACTGAGATTTGGAGAGAGAAAAAGTTTCTGTAGCAGCACAGACCGATAATTCTTCGGAGCCCCTTATTCAACCTGTGCCTTGATTTTAAGAATGTACGTAATGCCCTTGTCGACCTTTGACTCGGGTACACAGAAATTCAATTCGCCGTAATTGTAAAACAATTGATCCCTTCCCACCATTTGAAAATTATAACAAAATGCAATGGACTAAATAAGAAAAGATATTTATACTAATATAAATAAAGTATCTTGTGTCTAACGCCATGAATTACGAAAGATTCTTTTTGTATCCAAACCTGTAAATAGGGCATAAGTTCACGGACCTTCGTAAATGGCGAATATTTGGACACCATTGTTCGCCAGAAAAGTAAATAATATTCCGATCGTGGTAAATGTCCACACAATAAGTGGAATCTTTTATTTCAATATTCACACTTAATATTTTATAATAATTTCTTTTTATTGGCGATTAAAATATTGATATGATTGCTTTATAGTTTTCACGCGGTTTTTTTTTTAATTTTACGATTGTTAAAAAAGATATGTCTTTTTATTATTTTTTTTTCAAAAGATATCGACGAAAACGCCAAGTCTACAAATTTTATATTTCAGTACATAATTTATTTAAAGGGGGAGGAAATAAGCACCGCCCTCAATTTTACCTGGTCTGTGAACCCCTGTCAATCAGATGAAATTAAGCCTGAGATTGGATACTGAAAATTGATTGACATTTTGTTACCTGCCGTTGTGTATATCTTGTATACCTTGGTTGGGGATCGTACCGATCATTGAATTAACATTCAGTCTTTGATGCCTACCGCATATAATTAATATTAATATAACATCGTGATAAAGAAGCAGCCAGAGCTAATATTATATATTTTTTTTAACTTTATGATAAAGTAATTAGCCATATATAATTTATATTTAATCAGTCTGTCAAATAATTAAATAAATGAATAAGAAAATCAGTCATATATCTATTTAAATTGTAATTAAGAAAGGGGGGTTCATTTCACTATACAATCTATAATGCAGTATAGATTATCCAAATTTACACGTACATCAATTTTACTTAAAACAGAAAATACTGAACTGCATTGGAAGCATCATATAATTTAATAAAATAATAATTTCTTTTTTTATAATTATGAGATAGTCATATTGTCCAAGTTAAAAATTTTAAGACGTTTAATATTTCTTAGAGACATGGTGATGAAAGTTACGGTAAAATAACCAGTTTTAAAGAGAACTAACATTATTATAAAAGTTGTCATTGCATGCATATACAAGTTATGTTTAGAATTATGTATCCCGAGGAAAAAAGTAGGATAAAGTGATTATATTCCCGTTTCGTCTACCTGTCGGAGAAACAATACGCGAATGCCTTGATCATTTTTACGGAACATGCATGCGTCATGGGTTAATCACATAGGAATTATACAAAAAATATTTATCTAATTTATTATATATTTTCTACAAAATTTAGCCTTCAAACAGGAATTCTAAGTTTTAGAGACTTAATTATTCAGGACTGCGCTTTTTTCTACTTTCGTTTTGTGAATGAGTATTTCCCTCGGTGTCGCCAGCTTATAACCAAAGATTTGAAATTTATTAACGCACAAGATTAAACTAAAATTGTCTCCTTTATTCAAACATATTTTTAAAAAAAGAATTGAACTAAAGGAATCAGTCTACATAAAAAATTTTATCATGTTTTATTTTATAAATTTGACGATCAACATTTCGATTGACCAACACGCGAAGTTAAACTATGTCTTAAGAAAACATTTACAGGTAATATACAGGTAACATCCTGTGTATATAGGTAGGTATACACAAGCCAGCTTGGTTCCCTGGGGATTCACAGCCGTTTCAATTAAGCTCCACCCCACACCAAACTTACCTGAGGAAAACCGACCGGTTGAAAACCCTGGCCTTTAAATATTTTCACTCAAAATTATGCACAAAACGCGTAATGTTGACCCTGATTATCAAAAGCCGGACTTCCTGTGTAATGCAGCGTGTATAGGGATTTTTGACATCTTGAGTATTGGGGCTCTCCAGGTAAATAACATCAGTACTACCAAGACCACTCCCCCTCCTCAGGTAACCGTACGGTAAAAAAATTGGGTCTTTAAGTAGCAAATTTTTAACGAATAACCGACTACAAAAATTTTAGTCGATAGTCGGTATGATCGAACGATATTCGAGTACTCGAATATTCGTTGAAAACCTTTATATATATATATATATATATATATATATATATATATATATATATATATATATATATATATATATATATATATATATATATAAAACATGTAAAATGTAAATGTACACTGAAACTTGTCTAATCCGGATGTTGTATGATCCGAAATCTTGTCTAATACAGTTCTAAATTTCAGTCTGTTGCAGTAAATTTCATTGTTTTAAATGTTGTCTAATCCGGATATTAATGTTGTCTAATCCGACCAAATTCTTTGGAACCAGTAGTGTCCGGATTAGACAAGTTTTACTTTAATATGATTTGTTAGGGAAGAAAACAATTATATTCAGACTGGTTGGTCTGTATGTTTTCATATTAAAATTTTGCATAAGATGGAACATTATTATTGTAGTGTATTCTTGTAGATTATGACCGTTCACGGTAGCTCAGTCAGTAGAGCGCTCGCTTCGTGATCGGGAGGTCGTGAGTTCGAATCTCGGCCGCGACTGACCTAAGTCGATAAAAAATGGGTAGCAACTGTTCCTTCGCCATGCGCTCGGCACTTTGAAGTGAAAGTTGCGGTTCCTTCGGATGAGACCTTAAAAACCGAGGCCCGTGTCGGCAGGCGTTGGCACGATAAAGATCCTTCACTGCTCAATGGCCCTGAGTGCCGAGTAAAGGTCAAAATTTGAAGCCCTTAACCGGTATATGGTGACGTCTCTATATGAGTGAAAAATTCTCGAATGGGACGTAAAACAACATTCAATCAATCAATCAATCTTGTAGATTGTCTTTTTTTTCAATTGGAAAAAAACTTATTTATTAATTGAAGTTAATCTCCGTGTGCTCTTTGCTCTAAATTAAGACCTCAGGTGAATAAATAAAGTATGGATTCTATGACACATAAAATATGAAATTAACTCACCAAGTTTTAGATCATTTCAGAGATACAAGCTGGAAAAGAATATCTGATAGAAAAGACACAGCTAGCATGGATCACATGTTAACCAAAGTACACAAAATTGATTTTCATATAATTTGTTCATAATAAATTCTTGTCAATCCTTAAGTTCTAAACAAGGTATTATTTAAGTTGTTTGCAATATCTGTACACATTAGAATAATTATCCCATGTATTAAAAATATGCTTCTAAGACTTCTCACCCCCTATGTTTACTTTGAAGATTATAAGTAAATTTTAAAATTTTACTTGGTCATGATTTCTGTTCTTTTTCTTTTATATTATTTTGCAAAAAGGGAAACATTAAAAGCAAGCTTGATTTTGGAATCTGTTCCAAAATAAATTCAACTGCACATGAAAAATCTACATTCCAACAAGAAAATCCATACATTCCTGAGGATTTCCAACCAACACCAGTTGTTCAGTACTTAAAGGATGGACATGGTAATTGTATGGAGAAACTTAGGCAACATGGACAATCATCAGAAGTATTTCTTCCGTCTTGGACTCCGGCATCGGTGAAGCATAATACATTTAGGCATAAAGGAGATGGCAAATCATGCAAGAACAAAGACTTCAATCATAAATTTTGTCAAAACCCTTTCTTTGAAACTCCAATTGAATGTACAGAATCAAAACGGAGAAAATTGGAAGTGAATACTCAACAAGAATCAAAGCGGGTATTGTTTCACGATTCTAACATTTTAAATAAATGTTTCCTGAAAGAAAATAAAGGACGAATAAAAAATGATGGTTCTTCCCCAATTCTTAAAAGAAGCAGTATTCTTGATACTCAAGATTCTTATTCTTTAGACTCAAGGTTTCATCAAACTGTTAATGGTTTACAAACTTCAGCTTCGAAAACAGTCTCAAAAGGAAGACAAAAAACCTTCGAAAATCTCAAGTTTAAAAGTCCATTGGACAAACCATTGGATAAAGAAAGTAGGCTCTGTTTATCACCAACAAACATGCAGAGAAAGTTAAACACACCCAACATAACTGACCAAATGAAGCAGAATTGGTACACTGCTCATACTCCAGGAAATCTTTTAACTTCCACAGAGAGACACTCAGGTGCTAGAAATAGCAAATATACCAAGAAACATGATATTGTTCATAACAGCAGAAATTTATACGAACATTTTGACAACAACTGTGAAGTAATCAGATCAAATATCAACAGCAGGGATGAAATGAGTCTACTAATGACAAGCACTCCAGTGGATATAAGAAGAAAACCCCTAGAGATAGTGATATCTCCAATATCACACACAGCAAAAAAATCCCTTTTATTTAATGAAGAGGGCTTTCATTCCAACCAAACCATTTCAGAGGCATCTGTTTCTAACAAAGACAAACAAGTCTCTTGTCATACCTCAGTAATTGGTCAAACAGGTGATGGAAATAGCTGTGATAAGGATCAAAGGTAATTTACCATCATTTTTTAAAGGGAAGCAAAATTAGTTTAAGGCCTGATGACGCGTTGCTCGAATACTAGTATCTGTTTTGTATCTCTTCATACTATATATAACAAATTAATCGATATTTATCTTTAATTATCCTGTGATTTATAAACTGTTTTCAAAATTTTAAGTTGATAAAGACACCAAGAAATTGTGATACTGGCAATGCTAGTGATTTCCAAGAGGATTATATTGTAAATAGCATCCTCTGGTATCTTGAACAAATGCCTTGGTAAGGTACCTTAAGTTTTTGGGAGGAAACTTGTTAAGCGGCAATACTTCAATGACAAATTCTTGGAAAAAATTATATATTATTGAGAAAAGTGACGTCTGACCTTAAAGTGTTAACATAACATGGTTGCAAACCATATTTTTGATAATTTAGTTTCATTTCATCTTCCACTTTGCTTTTTAAGCTGAACTAATTGAAATATTAGTCTTGCTCAATGAAATACTTGTAATATAAAGAATATATCGACTGGTGTGATACTGGTATCTTATTGAATACATGTATATTTTTTATTGCTTTAGTTTTTCAGAGAAGTCAACCAATCATTTGGAGGAAGACATTGCAGAAATTCTAGCAGAGGTAAGCCTGAATGCCACAAACTGTATAAACACAGTGGGTTGACTGGTGTTATTAGTATTAAGCACAAATCTATGCTTAAAAATTAATAAATTTTGCAAAAAAACTCCGAAACGGGTGCACCAGAGTTTTTACTTATCCCTCTAACAATAAACTAGATACAAGATGATGTCCGTAAACTATATTTAGATTTCACTCGCATAGTAAGTATCGTATATTAAATCAAAAGTCTACTTTCAATTTCTATAAACAGCCATGAAATAGCAAAAACGTGAGTACGGTGGCGTTTCCGGTTGGCGGATCTAGGTTACTGGCAATTTTTAATGACACTGACAACAAGCAATCGTTTATTTATTTCATGAAACGTCATCACTGAATTATTCAATCAAAACTTGATTTAAATGATATAAAAGAAATATGTTGTGATAACCGATTAAAAAGGGAAACGTGCAAATTATTTTCATCATTCACCGATCTTAATACTGGCAGAAGCTTTTAGAACATCATATAGCATCGAGCCCGATGTTAAAAAGAAAAACGAGGCGACTACTACTGCATAACATAAAAAAAGCTTTTTTGTGAATAGTCATTGAAATAATGGTAAATCATTGATAACACTATTAGTTGTGAATATATTTATATATCGAAAGACTATTATATATACATGTATGTAGTAGCTTTTCCTACTAAATTTATCGTTAAAATTTGTATAGACTATATTCCTTACTGAGAGCATCGTGGCAACGAACCCGAAGTACAATTTGCACTTCGTAATAAACTTGCTTACATGAAAAGAAAAAAAAATTAATGAATAATATATTGTTCATATACAATTAAAGATGTAAAATTTTGTGCTTTAATCAATACATTCCAGTTTTTTTTCTGAATACAGTCTTTTGTATCAAATACTCGGCCTATTCATAGGGCGTTAAAAGCTAATTTTTACATAGATACTTGGGTCTTGGTTTATAAATACGTATGTACCTTATTGATATGTAAAAAAAAGTAAGTAAAGTACATTTTTTTTTTACATATCAATAAGGTACAAACAGACCCAAGTACCTGTTAATTCCCCCCCCCTCCCCCGCCCCCAAAAAATCACTTAATCAGTAAAATGTGCATACTTGCTGCTTTTATCCTTGACGGAAATGAAATAAGAACATCTGAAGTTAAATGTCCATGACACAGGTTCCACAATAAATGTCAATTAATGAAATTGTTATTTTTCAAGTTTTTACAAAAAAGGGGTTGGGGTGCAGACGTACATGTATCTACTTCATTCGGGATTTTGAACAAAGTATTTCTTCCTGCTATAAGTCTGTAGGCTGTCAGTAGAAACTATAATATATTTTCAGTCGGTAGTGGTATAAATTCAATTCCCCGCGCTTGCACGGGATTTCATCTAGTGTTATATCAAATGTTTTTATTAAAGGACTATATTCAGTAATGACCAACATTTGACCCAAAATCAAACTTCGATGGAGAAATATATAATGATGTTCTAAAAGGAACGGTATCTGCAGACTTCAAAGCAGTAGATATTTTCATCATCCATTATGCCATATTTTAACATGACGTCAGGAAAATGACGTACATTCAAAAATTCAATGATTTATAGAGAGAAAAATGTAGGCCCTATATTACGTCGATATTTCGAGTTAAAGTCACCGAGTGCAGGTGTGCGCCAGCTCAGTGTTTTGATATAATGTGTAGAATGATAATATCTAATATTTACATTCAGCATGGTTTTTGCTTATAAAGTGTGAGGAAAGCTACGGCATTCAAAACACCATAACACGGACAGGGGGGTCAAAAGGTTAAAGTATGCGTTTTATTTTGACGTCACAAACGTTGAACGCCGTGGAAGTGCAACGTCATAAGCGAAAATCAAAATTCACGCTCACATTGAACTGAAGCTGTTGCAACGGCTCTTTCATTTATTGTAACTTACCCGAAGGATAATACAGGGATTTTGAAATATAAATCACCTTTGCAGTCAAGACAAGGAGTTAAAAAATGTAAATATAAACATTGAATCATTATTTTTTGAAAGATATAATCTCATAACTGCAACGGTGTGTGCAAACAAATTTTCATAACGCGCTAACGCGCGTTACTCAATTTGTTTGCACACACCGTTGCAGTTATGAGACTATATCTTTCAAAAAATAATGATTCAATGCTTAAGTGTTGTCAACGAGTACCCGGTTAACCGGTTAACCATCGAACGATGCGAGTATCGGTTAGTAAAACGACTACTCGATTACTCGTATATATAAAATTTATATTTTAACATGTTGAAATCAGCAGGAAAAAATGAAATTTTGTTCATAAATTTCTATAATTAATTTACCGTTATTTAACGATAGACTCGACCTACAATATGTAGCTTTTTACAAATACGACGGATTTGTTTTGATAAGTATTTCACAAATTATCTAATTGGAGGCTTTGAATGCCGAGGGCTATACAAGTTTTGAAGGCTTAAGATAATTCTGTGTTAGTCTGCAGTATACAAGATTAAAGAAGACGCCGCCAAATACACCCAAATCTTTTAAAAGAGTGACTGAAATTAAATCCGTAAGTTGTAAAATATTTGGATGTATTGAAATGGAATAAACATACACGGTGGGACCAAAAATATGCTAAACCACCTTAGATTGAAAATTTACTCTGAATCAAGCGATATTTTATAAAGGACATCCTGCAAAACAGCAAACTATTACGGGATATTCGAGAAAAAAATACTTTTGTTTGTAATTAAGAATAAAGTTCCTGAGCAATGCATTTGTGTTTTATATATACCGGTATAAAAAATATAATAAATATGATAAATATAGAAATGGTGACGACGTTACAAATACAAAATGTATTTCAATTACTATTGAGCATTTATACTGCAAAAAAGGGTGTTTTGAGGTCTAAAGAAAAACCACTAAATTTAAATTACTAAAAATCGTCCGATTTGACAACACTAATAATATCAATAAATATGTGTATATTGTTATGGAGCAGGTCTGAGCTCTATAAATATTTATTAAAGATTGAACAAATTTTGTCCATTTGTCCCCTTTCTGAAAAATAACACAAAATCTACATAGTTTGTGACGTCACGGAAACAAACGGTGCAAATAAACGACTCCGAAACTATTATAATATTTTTTGTTAATTCAATTTTTTCATTTCAAGAAATTTTCAAAATTTGACTTGTGGGAGTAAAAATATGCATATAGCTCCTTTTTTTTTTATTTATCACATTTTGCATCAGGATATACATAAATGTAAAAAGATTTTTTTTTTTTTTTTTTTTTTTTTTTGGATTTAAGACTTGTTTTTGTAGAAAACAATATTTCGAAACTTTCCAATAAATCTTGATTATTTCAAAGTAGATTTGTAAGTAAATAATTACATTCTGTATTGTATTTTTATGCCCCGGCCATGAAATGGCCGGGGACATATAGTGTTACCCTGTTTCGTCATTCCGTCATCATTTACTTTCTGTTTATTATCTTGGCAAGAGTTGGCACATTCAACTCAAATTTGACATGGATACGTCATAGAAATACGCAGGTCAAGTCCAAATTTGGTCATGGTCCGATGATATTTGACAGAATTATTCCTCTTGAACTTGAAAAAAAAAGAAATTTCCAGTTTCCGCTCTCTAACTTTTGTAGGGATGTATGTATTAGATTGAAATTGCATATGCAGGTATTCTACCAGAAAATACAGGTCAAGTTCGAATTTGGTAGTGGTCCGATGATTTTTGTCAGAATCATCCTTCATGAACTTGGACACAGTTTGGCAATGTATAATCATAAAATAAGGTCAATAACATAACTTAGGTAGTGACACACCTTCCAAACAAGATGCATGAACTGTCAAGATTTGATGGTCCTAGGCCTTAATGTGAAAGATGTCACCCCAATACGAACAAGTGGCCCATGGGCCACATCGCTCACCAGAGCACATTGGCTAGGAAAAAAGCAGAAATCAGTTCAGTATTGAAAAGTTTACGAGATGGGGGGGGGGGAGGGGGAGCTTAAATTTGCACTACATCAGGATGCATCCATATCATTATTACTAATCATGGCTTTGCTGTTCTTGAGCAGAAGAATTTTAAAGATTTTTTCCCTTATGTATTCCTATGTAAAACTTTTGATCGCTCATTTGGCCCCACCCTACCCACCGTAAATTTGAAAAAAAAAATTCATCTACACTACCTGAGGATGCTTCCATAATAATATCACTAATCATGGCTTTGCTTTTCTAGAGCATAAGATTTTTTCAAGATGATTCCTATACATTCTTATGTAAAACTTAGACCATTGTTGCCATAATGTAATATATTAAAGTAATATGTCATATTAATAACTTTTTCCACCAAGGTGGTTTATTTAGAATGTTGAAAAATGAACCAAGATTGTGTTAATTAATAAGCAATTTTCGATATTTCACATTTGATGTTTAGTTTTTTTTTTTTTTGTATATTGTTTAACGTCCCTCTCGAGAATTTTTCACTCATATGGAGACGCCACCACTTGCCGGTGGAAAGCTGCAAATTTTGTCCTATACTCGGCACTTACGACCATTGAGCAGTGAGGGATCTTTTTCATGCCAGCACCTACTGCGACACGGGACCACGGTTCATACGGTCTCATCCGAAGGACCGGTCTCCACGTCCCACAGTGGGATTCGAGCCCGCGAAGTAAGGATCAACTCCTTACTCCGCGACTCTAGAGTAGACACTCTAACCACTGCGCCACGCGGTCGACTTGATGTTTAGTAACGCAAAACGCAAAATGTAATAACAAAAAAGGTGACTATTGCAGTTTATTACATTTTGTGTCATAGCTACATTTGTGTTGTTTCAATTTTCTGGGTTTTTAAAATTTTAGATGGACCAGTTAGAAGAGGATCAAGTGAAGGAGTGGGAATTTAGTGTTTATTACAGCCAGACACAAAGTGAGAAAGACAACGAGGTCTGATATCTTTTCAATATTTTTGTATAGTTTCATTAATAACTAGGAATGTTGACAATGTCTGTGATTGATTGTTTTTATAACTAAACCTGATGACAAACGGGATGACTTCAACTTTTCCATCGTCAACTTCCCTTATTTAAGAAGCAATATTCCAACATCACCTGCATATTGTGTTTGTGTCTCAGATTATACTCTCAGTGTGATCAATTTTTAAACCAGGGCAAGCTACTGACAAATAAGTATATGATAAAAGGATTTCAACAACCCCATTTAAAGTCAGCTTTTCAAAAGTTCTACGATTGTTATAATGACCTTGTTTGTAAATACAGCACCGTTGGGTCATACTTTGCCTGACATGTTCTATAACATTTGTTAAGTCATTGCTTTTATATTAAGTTAGACTAATTTATACCCTGTATTCCTGATCAATACACAGGGCTCACTGCGGGTGTGACCGGTTAATAGGAGATGTTTACTCCTCCTAGAATCCTGATCCCACCTCTGGTGTTTGCTGGAGGCCGTGTTTTTGCCCTGTTCACGTTTTTTTTTTTTTTTTTTTTTTTTTTTTTTACCGATTTATGAGATTGATCACTGTTCGTTATCTTCATCTTTTACATTTTATAAACTATATATAGAATTTGATGATAGGTTTACGAAAATACAACAATTTATTGAATGGTTTACTGCATTAATGTACTTTCACAATTTAGTTAATGAATTCACATTCTGGTTTTCGCAAATTCCTCACATGTTTACTGAATTTACAATTTCATTATTAAATACTGCATAATATACCTAATACAGTATTCAATTAAAAATCAGGTTTTAACAATGTCAATCTGATTAAAATCAGATCTTTCTTTCTGCTGTACAGCGACCATCAGAATTTCGGAGCGTAACAAAGATCTGATTTTAATCAGATTGTAACAATGTCTGTGATTAATTATTGTGCAAATGTTACAGGAACGATATGTTGAACTGAGAAAAATGAACGATGAAAAAATGAATGATATTAAAGACAGCGTAGAGCCATATGCTCAGGACGATACAAAGGTATTTTAAATCGCATATGTTTAAGTCTTGCTTTGTTTAGACATGTAATATGGTGGGATTCATTTCTCTACGAATCCGATGTCAATTTCCTTTTTATCTGTGTGTCTGTCGGTACCAAATTTCCGTCGCAGTTTTCTCATCAACTACTCATCGCAGAAATTTTAGCACACCCTTTGTTTAGACATTGCCATGGTGGGATTCATGAGAGCGTATATTCACATCAGAGCGGGGGTGAAACTGGTTTCGGAACTTCTAACTTGAAAGCGATGATGGAGATAAAATTATTGAAAAATATGGATATTTTTATCAATCAGAAGATGACCATTAGATATTCCTTTGGTGTGTAGAATGGTTTGAAATCGCGCTTACCTTTCCATCATGTTAATTGAAGCAGACGTTTCTCGCTGAAGTACAACTGCTATCAACTTTATATATATATATACAGAACTAAAAAAAAAAGTAAGATTATCCTCGATACCGATCATTGCACTATTATTATAAACAGAGACTTCCTGAATTTGATTGCAATCATCAATGTTAACATTCAAACGTTGGAGTTAGGCGAACTTTTAGTCACGGCATGTCGCAACATAGTGACACGACGAGTAGTGTGTGTAATTCTAGTATTTCTATTCGAATATTCGTCTCAAATGTAAATATGTAATAAATATCGAGATTAAAAACTTCACTGGGAAATGAACTACGTGATCAAACCTATTGAAAAGCCCTTCGGGCTTCACAGGATTTGATTATGTGACCAACCAAGTTCATTTCCCAGTGCATTTTTGTTATTTATTTGTTATTTATTTCTTTAAAAAAAGGAAACGAAACATTTCAATCCAAAGACAAATAGAATACATAGTTAGTGAACTACAGTAGCCATGAATCGATTTTAAGAGATTAAATAAAAGTGTCGTCATACTTGACGGAGCATCATTGTCATCCTTAATATTTGCGTCTGCACTTTCAGGGGACAGTTAATGTAAATATTTTGTTCTTATCATTAGTTGTTTGTCATTATTACCGCTGGATCTCATCCTACAGTTTTTGTCACATGTACTCGAACGTCTTTGCGTGTAAATCGGCATAATAACTGAATGTGCAGTGAAGGTTTTGAATTTTGATTTCGTCCCGAGGTCACCAGTTCCCAAAACAATGTGGTTTCAAGTGTTAAATTATACGTTTTAGGGTTTAAGAATTTTATTGGTTGCAGATGTGCAAATAATGTTTTTGATGCTGTATGGGTCTCATAGTTGCCGTACTGGTGATAAGTTTCAGGTTTGTGAGCAAATCTATTTGCGAGTATCTATATCTCTTGAATTGACCTAACTTCCATGGATGATTGTCCTAAATAATTATTATACAAGTATTAGTTATGCTTTTGATGCCTTTGTAATCTTTCCTGGTTCTGTATTGAGAAGAGTTGCATGTTTGATACCATTAGTTACGGAAAGAAGGAAAGTTATTTACAAGCCTTGAAGCAGGTAACTGATGCTGCTTCTAATGTCCAGAGTAGTTCAGTTGAATGGATTTAACCCTTCTTTGCATTGAACAGATATCACGGAATGCAATTTGATTCTATAAATGTTTCCAATGCTATGGATTATCTTCATTTTCCTTTCCGAGAAGGTTGACTACCAAGTAAGTATGTTAAATGCATGATTATAAGCCGTGCATTGGTCTAATTTGAATCTTCACAACGTACAATTTTTCTGCATAAATGCTTTTAAGAATTTTTCCATCTTAAAGTCAACAAGTAGAATCAGGAAAAATACGTTTTGAAAATATGCGGAAAATACTCACTACTGAATATATGTTCGTACATTATTAAGCGACACAGTGGGCAATAATGTCCGAAGTTTCAATAGAATTCTTAACTTTGATTTCAAGAACGGTATTTTACAACATTTTTATGCATGTATCCTTTTTATTGTGCTTGAGCTAATAAAGAAATCGAATCTTTAAATCTGTAAAAGCACATAGATTATATTACATAAATTTTGCATGTAGTTGAGGGTGGCATGAAAATTTTACCCCTTTGTTGACATTGGTTTTCTTAGAGTGAAAATTTTCAATGTTACCCCTCAACTACATGCAATATTTAATATTTTATACTGAATATTTCATACATATAATAATTATGAGCAATAAATCCCACACAGTCAACATTTTTGACTTATATCCCATTAGGTCATATCACCCTTAGTCAATTAATGTTGACTGATGCTTTTAGTTCTACAATGCTGAAAGGCGGGTTTCCTCATTGAGAGGGTTATAGTGTAAAACTTTGTTTCTCGACGAATTAGTTTCAACTAATTACTTGAAAGTATAATATTTAAGATTATATCACATCACTAAATCCCAAAACAAAATGGCCAGAAGGGTTTTTTTTATAGTGTTGCTTTATTTCTCGGATTACGAACTGGGCCAGTGTAAAGTCAAAAAAATTTTAAGTTAAAGGTTCAGCTTTATTTTTTTTTATTATGTAATCATGCAAAGCTAATATAGTCTCACGTCTCGATGACGTAACGATTTAGAGGGGGAAATTCATATATCTTTTTTTTTAACCACAGATTGGTAAAATGGATGACTTCTTTGAGAGGAAATATGATGCTTTGATTGTGCTCAAAGCCGCAGCAGCCAAGCTTGAAAAATATGTTGAACATTACGAAGCAACTGACTTTGATGCAGACAATCACAAAGAAAATGATTTGTCAATATGTTCAAATCAAAATGAAACGCAGCATGCCAAAGAACAGTGTTCTCTACCTAAGCTTCAAACAAACGGAAAGGAACAGAACTCAGTAAAGCAGCCATCTGAAGATTTAGGTTCTTCAGTACAAAATACTACTGTTGTCAAGGAAGAGACAGGTAATGCACAAATTCACTGTTATAATAGTGAAATACAGAGGAATGCTAATTTATCAGACTCAGGAGAGATTGAAATAGCCTTAAGAACAGCTTCACAAATTACGAACAATACGGAATCGTGCAATCAAATGTCATCCTCTTGTACAAATGACAAAAAATGCAAATGTAGTGATTTATTTGTATTGCGATCTTCCAAAGAATCTCAGACGGAAATCTACGTCAGAAGCACTGGAATCGAGACTGACGTGATTAATGCCGTGTCCGTGGGGATACAATGTGATCTGCTTCTTGACGGCTGTGATTGTAAATTAGAGGCTCCAGAGAGTCAGGACAGTTTTCATAGCGTTGCATCTGATCTTCATTTCGAAAATACTAATCAAAATAATTATCATCTTCGATCCAGGAAAAAGATTTAAACATGAATATGAAAACAATTGATAAACCATACATAATAAAACAATAAATTGTTTAATATAAAAACAATTGCATCGTACTGTATTAGTGACTCTGTTTTCAATCCTTATATACTTATTAGATGAAATAAATATAATAAAAAATTCCATATAAAATATTAAATAAATGCATTTCTTGTTTTTCAGGTGCACCAATTTTGGGGATCGGATGGGGGTATTATTCATATTCCTGTATCACGTGATTTGTTTGAATTAATTTCCAGTTATGTCATTTATACTTTTGTCATATATGAACAGTGATAATATTTCATCTACACCATTGCAAAATTCCAATGATTTTTTTTTCTTTGCGATGCCTTGGGTCTTTCCTATCTCATCCATCAAGATATTGTATTTTCTTTATAACGGTTAATGCAGAAACAGAGCTGCTTGAACATTCTCAGTCTGGTGAATCAATTTCAGATTCCCTGCCGTCTCTATTTAGTCCACGTATGTGAACATACTGTATATTTTCCACATTATAGTCTACTTTGGGGCCTGTACCACACCAAGGCCTTGCAAACAAACCTTCTACTTCCTCAAGAGTTTTTCCTTTTGTTTCAGGTAGGAATAACACCAACACAATAAGGCCAATTAAGGCAAGTCCGCTGTACAGCCAAAATGTGCCTTGAGAAAAAAAAACTTGTGAATTAAGCGAAATTATAAAATTAAAAGTCATTTCCCTTAAAGCTGTTGATTAAAATAAAATACTTACAATTTTTAAAATCGTATAGTCTTACAAATTCAATAAGGTAATTTTCTTGAAAACTTCGTTATCAAGAATTTCACCTTGGTAGAATTCAAACTTGTTTCATACCAAACCGTGTGAGAGCTTGAGTTAAGCTTAAAAAGGACATAGACATGGCGAGGTTAACTGTCCAGTTTGTGAATGTAGACGCTGCATTCCCTGCGCTTCTAGCCCAGGACGGGTAGATTTCTGAATTGATTGTCCAAGGCATTGGTCCCATACCTAAAACATAATTTAATTACTTCATAATCAATAGATTTTAAAGGAACACATTGAAAACATATTTTACATTTGAAAGTCTTCTATACCTGGAGCAAAGAATATGAGGTAAGCAACCAGGCCTATCATTGGCATCCAGTAAAACTTTGTAGGACAATAGTCATAAGCCCAAGTGAGATCTCCTTGTAAGTGAGTATCGTTACATCGACCAGCCACGGCCTTAAAAGGCTCATCATAGTTTGCTCTCAAGCAGGTTCCATTTTCTGGTCCATTGTCCGAGTCAATATAGCAATAGCCACAGTTTAAGTCCCGCATACATGAATTACAGTCTCTGTGGAATATAAGGTCCACACATTTTAAATTATGTTTGTCCGGGTTTGTTTAGCATCTCACTGAGTAAAAAGATTTGAAAAATTGATATCATTATTAAGACGGTCAAATCCCGTATCAGAAAAATCAAATTATCATATAATTAAAGCAATCTTAAGATATAATATGTAGTCTCTGTTTTAATCAAGTAAACTGAAAACGATTTATGTGCATTCCTGTTAACCATTGCTCGAAGCGTCGTGATTAAATCAGTTCTCTAAAGCTTTGTTGCATTTTACTATAGATATATTATTCAAAGTCATGCATCTATTGGACATTAACTTACAAATATGTTTGACATTTCGAACTCGTTGCTGTCTGCTCTCTTAACGTAATAGGAGTCGTGTTCATTGCAGAGAGTTGGAACCCTATGGCTAACCAAGCCAGACTCACAATCGCTCCTAAAACAAAGTCGGTATGTGAAGTCTAGACAGCAACGCTACCTTACTAAAATCACTAATCTGATTAGATATATTTTACGTAGAGTGAGTATTCAAGAGATGTGCAGAATTTTGAATTGAAAACCTGCATGTTAAAGCTGGCCTGAAATCAAAAGTTCACTTTATCTACTGCTGTCCAATTGAAAGTCGTTATGAAAAATAAATTGTTTGTATTCCCATGTTAAACCTATGAGACTCCCAAGTGTCAATGCTCTTCTACCAATCCTCTCCACCAAAAATAATCCCAAGACCGTAAAGATGAAATTAACTGCTGCTGTAAAGGCTGACAACCAAATTGTGGTCTCGTCTCCCCGGACACCAGACATCCGTATTATTGTGGCACTGTAATACCTAAAGGAACAAATATCGGTAGTGTTATCCAGAGAAGTTTACAATGTAATTATAATTCGTTTATTTTAAAAGTAATTAATATGAAAAATATGCACTGGGTTTCATCATTTTATTTTTCGTAGAGTACCAATTTTTGCTGCTTTCATGGTTGAACCAGACCACAATATTAGGTAATTATTTACATAGAATAGGACGAGGTAGCTGTCTTGACATTTCCAGAAAATGTATTAAAGCTCAAAGAGCTGATGCTATAACCTGGCATGCGAAGTTGACCATATCTAAAGAACCCCTTGGCTATTTTTATCAAATTTGTCACAGAATATCCTTGGGCCAAGGGCTTTATTTATACTAATTATAGGAAGTGACCTTTAAACAAGGGGAGATAATCGGGGAAATATAAAAGTAAGTAGTGATTGCTAAAACATCTCATGAACCACTGGGCAAATTATCAACAAACTTACATACAAGGATGAGGATACATTGTAGATGAAAAAAAAATGTTTAAGGCATCACCCAAGGACAAAGAGCGTGGTCTCAGCATCACTTCAAATTTCATCTAAAATGATATTTTGTTAAAAACTCATTTTGCACACTATGAGGATTAGGATCATCAAATCATGTCATTTGATGCATCTTGAGAACTTATGTTACGTTGGCTCAAATTTAGGCCACAGTGACAATGATCATTGCCTGACGCCATGTGCGTCAGGCAGTATAAGGATTAATTTTTTCAAGATCCGAAACTAAGCGATCATTCTTAATGAACTAGATTTTCTGGAAGCTGATTTACACTGGAATTTGTTACCTGCATTTAAACAAATACAGTTTGCTGAAGAAATAATCGTACTGCTGATGCAAAATAATGATGTGTTTAATTCCTTCAGTTTTTTGGCATGTACATGTTTATTCTTTGCGATTCTTTGTATAGGCATGTCCGTGTAACATTTTTTCTGCGTTTCTAAACTACTGGATCAGTCCATTTGCCTTCTACAGAAGGGGTGACACAATTATTTTGCGCCAAATGTCACATGTAAATTATCTTCGCGCCTTTTTCTTGGATTGTTCTATTGAATGGGTGTGATAACTTCTATGGAAATAAATAACGTTTATTCTTTTAACCTGATTCTTAAGCTTCAGATTTTTTATTAACAGTAAATTTTATCTCATTTTTAAAAGAACACATTGTATATGGGCAGGCAACACTAAACCAATGGATTTGCTGATTATTCTTACTATTTATCCCATAAGTGAACTAGTCCAATCATAAGCAAACTCCCTCGACCTAGTAAATGGGACATCCCTTCTTGATTCAGTCTGTTTCCCACCTTTACTTTCAATATTACATTTATTAATGATGTACGTTACAAGGTTAGGTTTTTAAAAAAGCTTAGAAAGTCAGCCAGTAGCATATTATTTCATGCTTTGTGATGAACAAGGATAGTGACTATAGTAGGTCAGTACCCATAGAGGAATGGGCATAACTCCCGTAAGGTTCTAAGCAAAGAATCGGCAAAATGAAGAAGACATCATGACCTGTACTAGTTTTCATTTCATATAAAAGCACGTTATTATAATTATGAGAAAGGTCCTGAAATCGATTGAAAAGAAAAACTAAACAATTTTAAAACTGCACATAAAGATGTATTTTTAAACTCATTTATAATACATGTATATGGGAAGACCATCAGCGCGTGAGTTTCGTCCGGGGGGGGGGGGGGGGTGTTATTAGTATATTGTTTTGCTCTATCTATAAAGTGTATAGTCCATTTACTTTGAGTTCTATAGAGCAGCATTGAAGCATTTTTGTCTCAAACACTTCAAGAAAAGGCAGTTAAAACTGTTCATAATTTACTTCGACGTCGAGAACGACGGAAAACAGACCAGTCTATAAAAAGAGGCCGTCTCATCAATCTATCACTGACCAGAGAAGTGTGCCCTCTAGTAAGAGAGTACATGTAATATGAATTTCTTTAGAATCATCTAACTATTTTCCCCAAAATTATAATCTACGCTATCGCACTTAGAGTTTCATCCCAACGTAACTTGTCAGCTAGCCCGTGGGCTAACTAATAAATGATTGAATAGTGGCATGTCTTAGATATTCGTTAATCTGCAGTATTTGGTTATGAGATTTGAGAAAGTCAATTGTACATCTTGTGTAATGAAGTATCGCAACTATGTCGCTCCTTGATGACGGAAACGTTTAGCACCTCTCTTGCTTATACGTTCCATAGATATTGATTGATTAGTCAGGCAAGCTTTTTGAAAAGCTATTACTTGTTTGATGTCTATAATCATCAAAACTTGTCTGACAGTTAATGCTCTATTGAGTGGGTCAACCAAACAAGTATATCACCTTGACTACTTTCTGAATTTTAGGGCTAATCCTTTTCAAAACATATTGGTTTTTTATTTCTGATTATGAGAGGTTTAAAATCATGAAACCTTGTAAATTGATGCATTTTGGAACATACTGATAAGTAGGTCACAATTACCTACAATTTTAATTTTGCAGGTATTCATTTTCATTGTTTTAGAAGTATATTTTGGACATTGTGAAGTCTAAGATCATGAAACCGTTTCTGTTGATGCATCTTTGGTCCTCGGAGTGCGTCAACCAAAAAGTAGGTCATAGTGACCTACTTCGGAATTTCATGGCTATATTTAAATATTTCAGATGCCAAGTGTGAGTTGATGCATTTTGGGTCCTCGGAATGTGTCAACTATAAATTAGGCCACCGTGACCTACTTTTGGAATTTATGGCTATTTCTAAATAGGCTATATCTAAATATTTATCATTCGAATGATTTGAGGCTTAGAATCATCAAACTTTGTCAGTTGATGCATCTTCGGTCCTCGGAGTGTGTTAATCAGAAAGTAAGCCATTGTTACCTGTTTTTAGCTCACCTTAGCTGAAGGCTCAAGTGAGCTTTTCTGATTGAAATTTGTCTGTCGTTGTAAACTT